ATGAACTTGCCAAAATCAAAACGAGTTCTTCTTTCTTTTCTTTAATCATAATGGAAAAGAGGTGGTGGGACATCTTTTCTTTGTGCTTGAACTATCATTGACCGGTCGTGCTAAAATTTTCTTGGGTTTCCTCACTCTTCGTTCTCTTGCTCTTTTATTCTTGAACTTAGCATTCCTGATTGGTGGAAAGTATCTGACCGAGACATAGCATGTTCAACCATGACTTTAGTGAATCCCTTATATTACATCCTTCTCTATATCTGAAAAATCTTAAGGAATCACTGACTCCTAAGAAGAATTTCGGCATATGAGAATCTTTTGAAGGTAGTCCATGGAATCAACTGCGGCTTGTATTTCAAGTATGAAAGTATAGATTTAATTCTTCAACTATTCGATAAGCCTATGTTTAAAGTTTTTTTTATTTTTTTCTCTAAATGAATTACTTTTGTAGAGTTTCTAACCCGATTAGCTACATTGGTTGAATCGATTATCTCGTGATTGAGTTGAACTCTAAGGCTCCACTTGGATCAATTACATTTTCCAAGATCGGTGCAAAAAATTTGTTTGGTTGTGAACATATCGATAAAGGAATGATTGTCGTTTGGAGAAATCATATTTTCAATTTTTTTTTTTTTTTTGTCAATTTGCACCAATTTGGTTACAGTTATCTTGATTTGGATTAGAAGAATAAATACCAAAAACTTGTGTTCCAGAGAATATTATTATGAATTGACATCAAAAGGGTCGAGTATCGATCAAAAGTGGCAAAAAATAGGCTACAAATAGAGGTAAAAAAAATCACAAAAGAAGAACAATGAGGAAAATTTGGCCATAACTAGCTTTGAATTCGAAATCGAAACCTGATTTAATAAATATTAGTTCCATGTGGTTGAGTGTGTGATCTCCCTATAGAGTATAAGCAGCAATAACATAATAAGATTAGGGTGTTAGAGACAATTTGGCTAGATGATGACCTAGGACGGAATGCCTCCGGTAGTCCCTAATGCTCTTCGATCAAGCTAGAATAAAGGAGTCATAATAGAGAATCCTGGAGACATGAATCCATGTCAAAGCTACCAAACCACCCTAGGGACCTAGAAGACCACCACAACAACCTAGGAAGACAAAGGTAGCGTCCAGGCCAATAGTAGTTGGTACGACATCTACAGAGCTTCCATTTACCTTTCCACTCTAGTTTTAGTATTGTCGAGCTAGGTATAGGGCCGATTAGGAGTGTGTGACCTCACAGTTCAATTGGATTACCTTTCACGGTAGATCCATTCTAAGACAAATGTAAATGAAAGGGTGGCCAACTAGTTAACCAAAAACACTCGACACGTAACGTCTTTCTATGAATTTTAGAAGGATTTATTAAACTGTCTTTCCGTTACTTGATTCTACTTTTGTCTGAATCTTGGTCTAAAACACAAAATATCTTGGAATCCTTATCCATTTTGTTTCCCACTTGCCAAGTGTGGAATAAGTGTGGAATAAGTGTGGTGCCCAACTTTGCTACCCACTACAAAATTTCTTTAAGCTATAACTTTAATAAATTAGGAAAAAAAAAAAAAAACTTAGAATCGGAATCTAAATTCGGCACTAGATAACTTCAGCATTTTCTTACGACATTTCCTTTGCAACATGATCATACGGTCACGTTACTTAACCTTAAGGTTCTAAAAGTGGAGACTATTCCCACAAACCAGCCACATACTATTCTTAAATAGATCAAGATTCAGAGTTCATACTTGGCACTTGATGGCTTCGATATGGTCACATGGTCATGTTGCTTAATCCTCACTTCTAAAAGTGAAGACTATCTCCACAGACTAACACGAGTTCGTACATCATGTTTTTGTCCTTACTCACATAAGGTCACTCAATATAAAATTGCTCAAAGAAAAATACACTTAACTTTAGAGTTCATGTAATTGAGTCATTGAAAAGAAAAGTGCAACTTATTAGTCTAGCTAGTCACTTTCAACTCTTTTAAATCTTTTTAAGTCATTGTATCCTCAGGTTTGCTTTCATTCGAATGTAGTTTCGGTTTATTCATGTATCTCTTTTTTACTCAAGTATCACATGATTTATGTCTAACTCGATTATTTATACAAAATTTGATATTACGAAATTACTCGATTAATGAAGCTTCTTTTTGTATAAATTTGGTTGATGATGTGATTAATGGGCAAATTAGCAAAATGGAACCATGGGTAGAAACTAAAAAGTTGATAATAAATAAATTGATAGTATTTGAATGATGAATGAAAGAGAACAAAGGGAATCTTTTTATATGCTAACTTGAAAAAGAAAGGGAATCTTTTGCTCCCGATAACGTTATAACTAGTAGATATTGTTCTCTTTGGGTTTTCCCTTCTGGGCTTCCCCTCAAGGCTTTAAAACGCGTCTGGTAGAGGAAAGTTTCTACACCCTTATACATGGTGGTTTGTTCTCTTCCCCGACCAACGTGGGACATCACAGAATTTATTTGATCTGTAATTAATTGAAATCGGCTATAAATAAATTCTACAAGTTTTCCATTCCCGTGTCTTCACTTATATTTTTCCTTGCATCTTCTCTCTCTTATTCTTCATATTCTGAGTTCAGATCTCTAAACTCTAAAAATATTTAATAGATTATGAATTTTTTGTTGTAATGATTTGGACATTTTTGCGATTTTAGCTTATATTATTTACGTTTGTAAATTAAAGTTATAAAACTTTGTGTGTGATCATGTGAAAATGGACGAAAAATAGTCGAGATAGTACAAGAATGAGACAATGAAAAAGAAAAGACGGAAACTTTTGTCATCCAACACAAAGTTTAAACTAACCGTTAGTAAGTAATACCTAGGAGGATAACGTATAAATCAATGCATTCAAAATCACAACCTTTTTTTTTTGTATGCATTAAATAGTAACTTGTACGAACACAGATTTGTTGGGTATATATGAATGAAAATAGATTGGCACAATGAAAGTAATAACAAAATCCAATGAAATAAATTGACAATGATATTGAGGTCAAGATTCGGGTGTCAGTTACCTTGTGCTACACTTGTTTTGATGTGTTAAACATCTAAATTAATGAAAGATCCTATTAAATCTGCCATGGATTTCTCACAAAAGTAGTTATTGTAACGACCATAATTCTAGTATTTGTGAGCCTGTATCGTTATTACATGTATATCATGACCAGCGTTGCGTCGCTTTAGAAGCCCGACATCCATAGAGCAATACACTGTATAAGTACATCAATCTTCCAATTCTAGCTTCCTCTACCCCTGAGCGCATCACAGTCACATTATCAGTCTTCTTTTACTTCTTAGTTCTTCTTCGTCATTCGTCTTTGTCGTTTGTCCTTCTTTGTTTGTCTTCTAATCATCTAATAGTTTTATCGTTGGTCTAGCTTTTTCTTCTTTCCTTCTTAGTTCTTCTTCTTCATTTGTCTTTGTCATTCATCCCGTTCCTTCTTCACTCGGTACTTCCTTCGTCTAGTTGCTTCTTTTTATTCTTTAGCAGCTCAACTCAGCTTATTCTTTCATTCTTTGCTACTCACTTTACGACTCACTTCATCGAGATTGACATGAAAAACTCACTTATTTGCTACTCAATTTCGCTCTTTCGTTCTTCTTCATTTCCGCTCTAGTTTGCAGTTTCATCGCCTGTTCTTCATTAAACTAATTTTTTTTTTTAACAACGTGACAGCCCAACTCAAACACAACCCAATAATTGAAGATTGAGTTGGGATACCGATCCAACCATCCTAAACTTTTAGATTGGTCCAAGAAAATCCCTCAACCCAATCCAACCTGACCCATGTACACCCCTACGAAAAGTATCGATGAAAAAAATATAGTCTTCCATGGTCCCTGCAAAAACCAACATCCGACCAAAGATCTCGTCTTTACCTAGGAAAAAATGAGTATTTCATTAAATGACTCATTCTTCTCCCAGCCACATACAATAATCAAGTCATACTACATTCAACATGACTTATGTGACCCTATTTCATGATCGGTCAGGAGCTCTATTTTCATTCCTGAGTGTAGCGGGATGTATAGTATTTCTCTACCCATGATCCATATACATGTGCATGAATTCACTAGGTGAGCTTTTAACTTACTCTTTAGGCTTGCTTATGGGCTACCATACACTCATATAAAAAAAAAAAAATACAAATAATATATCATAAATGTACGTGTGTGTACACTGAATAATTGAAGAAGTAATCTATAATATCTTTTTTAAGGGACGGAAGCCACATATCCCTACAAAATGAGACAATATTTAAAAGACTTAATAAAAAAATTTCTATTTGTAAGTACCCAAAAGAAATACATTACAGGTAAGCATGAAATATACAAGGAAAACAAAATAAAAACTGGCTTGGATTTACCTGTCCTCTATTCGGACGACTTTATTATACTCTTATCATCAACCTCTATAATGTCACAATCTGATTTTCGAGACTTTGAAACTCAGACCGTGACTAAAAAAATAGACTTAAAAAGCATAAAATAAAAGTAAAATAAAATAGAATAAAATAAAGGATAAAAATATACTAAAATTTAAATCAAATTAAATAGACCAACAACACCACAGTTAAATATAAAATAAAATTTAATTTATCTTTAAATTTATTATAAAGGAAAAACAAGGTCCGGATAAAATAGCAAAATGAAATATAAAAGACTCCGAATTGGCTCTTCAAAACGATCTCCTTTTTAATTGCGTAGCTCTCGAAGGCTCCTCAACGTTGATGGATAACTCACGAACAACACAGTCTATTTATATATTTTATTAGTAATAGAATATATAAATATATTAGTGAGGAGAAAAAAAAAAAAATATTGTCGGTCGAGCATTACATACATGCATGTGTTAAAAATAAGGTTAAAAAAAAAAAAAAAAAAAAATCTAACCAAATAAAAATGAATAAAAAAATAAAAAAATAAAAAGGCTACTTTATTTATTTATTCATTTTTGTTTTGTTTGGTTGTTCCTTCTTAAGGCTCAACTCACTTTCTCCATTTTGCCTCTTATTTTCTTGACGTTTCTGTGGTTTTGTTTTCAGGGCTTCCATCTCCTCTCAGGCCGCACATGCAAAAAAGAGAGGTAATCTTTCTTCGATTAAGCTCTGTTCGGCTCTCTTTTCCACCGATTCATTTCGATTTTGCGCTCTTTCTTTGTGTGCCTCTCATTCTTCCAACCAATATTTTGAATTTTCGTAGTTTGAATCTTCAACGACAATTTTTGATTCTTGAATTCAAAACTGATGCATGGAATAATAATCGATTTTCACTTGCAAGTATCCGATTACATGGCCTTGGGGTTGTTCGTATAACTGTGTATGCTTCAGATAATTTATTCCCGTTTCTGTGTTCTGTGTAAATGATCTTCAATAACCCTTTTTCCTTTCTGTTTTTGCCGTTTTCTCCTCATACATTATTCTTTATTTAGATTTTCTTTTTCCATATTCATATAATCAAATACAATCCGTTTTCTGGGTCGGAAAGTTGACAATTTTTACCTTTGTTTACACTTCTTGCGTTGCTACTGCTGCTCTAGATATATATATATCCCTTATGTCGGAGCTCTGTTGGTTTATCTTTTGGTTTTTTTACTGATTTGGCTATGATTTTGTCTAACATGTGTACGGAATTATGATTGAGCAACCCAATCGTGAATTTAGGGATTGGTTTCTGTTACATTCATAATATGTGTTCTCTTAGCAGTGTAATTTAACAGTGTTTTGTTTACTTCCCTTTTGTTTTGTCAGTTGTATGCTGTTTTGTTTAACCGTTTATTCCCTTCTTAAGGTGTGTGTTTCATCATAATGCTTCGTAGAGATCCTGTTTCGAGATTTGTATTATTATGGTTTCTTCCACTGGCTATTGACTGCCTTCGCAGTTTTACCATTTCAGCTTGTTAATAGCTTCTCGATTCATAAGAACCATAGAATTCCACATCTAATGTGCCTTAAATATTTTTCTAGAGAGGGAGGTCTCATTCAGCTTGTTATTATATGTACTAAATTCTATTTAAACTATAAATAGTTATCAACAAGTTTTTTCGTTCTTTTTTAGATAACAAGAAATGTAATATTTTTAATGATAAGTTGAACTTTCACTGAGAAAAAAATGAAAAATACAAGGACATACAAAAAAAGAAGAGAATTTCACCAAAAAAGGGGGAAGCCAGGTCCCAAATTATGAACAAGGGCTCCGATCCCATATAATAAGGCCGAACAAATAATTAGGGAAACGTATAGTCATCGGGAATCAAACATTGCTAAACGATCTCTTATCCCTTGAAGATTCTGTTGTTCTCTCACACTAAAATCTCCACAAAATTGAATAGACCCCTGGCTTGCCACAGAAAACAACCATTTTACACGGAAAGGCAAGAAGGAAGAAGCTCCACTCAAACATTGCTAAACGATCTCTTATCCCTTGAAGATTCTGTTGTTCTCTCACACTAAAATCTCCACAAAATTGAATAGACCCCTGGCTTGCCACAGAAAACAACCATTTTACACGTAAAGGCAAGAAGGAAGAAGCTCCACAGTCGTCTTCCTACAACTCTACAAGCTAACAAAGTTGAAACTGAAAACCTCAAGGAAACCACCCCAAACAACTTCGGGAAATCACACCTCCAAAGTAAATAATTAAGATCCTCCTGGTCTCTTGCAAAGAATAACAACAAAGAAGCCTAACCAAATAGGAACCGTTGACTAAAATTTGATCTAAGGTGCTAAATCTTCCATGCATAACTTGCAACACAAATAACTTAACCTTCCACATGGAGGAAAAAATAGTCCTTTGACAGAGAGGGGCTAGCCATACAACAAAAGGAGCTGCAAAATAAGCTTTTCTAAGGGGGTTAGGACTCAAAGACGGACATCCCCTATATGAAGCATGAAACAAAAGTCTACAGGATAACAAAGCCAACACATCTGTCATTTCTCTATTAGTCAATGGAAGACAAACCCCAAGAAGGAGAACTGGAGTCTCAGCCAGAGAAAGAATAGAGTTTGTCGTATGATTTGTCGATGAAGACAATTGATATAAATGGGGAAACAAAGGACATGAGGGTCTATCCCCAATCTCCTAACCTCCCAAAAGTAAGTATTGGTCCTATCTCTGATCACGTTAAAGAAAAATTGGGACACGGTACATAATTATTCTCAAATGTAATGTCAATAAGTAAGGAGCATGGTACGTGCCAAATAGACCATGCCATTTTCAAGGAAGGAAAAAAAAAAAAAAAAAACAAAAGATTAGCTTAGTCAAATTTCTCTCTGATTAAGTCAATATGATCCTCTAGAGAGAATGGTTGAACCTCTCTCAAATTGGCTCTTCAATGAATCATTCCCAAATTTTGTAAAGATTTGGCTCTAGAGTCATTGATCTTGTTGAATGTTCTCCTTAGAAGCTAGAATACTTTAGTTTGGCTAACATGTCCGTGCTGAAAACTTGGACACTCCACACTTCTTCCTTACGTATTGGGCTTGATAGTGCAATAGATGTGTTATTAGATACTAGTCATGCCAAGTGAAAATAGGTCCAACATTTGTTAGACATGCATCGAACACTTGTTAAGTATGCTAAATAGACACATAGATGACAATTTTTTTTTGAGAGTGAAATACATCAAACCATTTTTCTAAGCATATAGATACATAAACTCATTTGACTTTGAATTTCCTATTTTTGTATAAAAACAATATATAGTTTAATAAATGTGTCCTTGCCGTATTTATATCCTAAATTAAAAAAAAAAAAAAGACGTGTCGCCGAGTCTATACCGTGTTTTAAATTTGTGTTTCTATTTGTATCTGTGCTTTGCAGATGTTCTTTCTTGTTCACTCTATCAATAGCGTATGCTGATGCCTTTTTTTTTTTTTTTTTTTTACTATAATGATTACCTATTTTCCTATGGACTTTTAAAGGGAAGTGTGATTGATATCTGTTAGACCAAATAGAATCATGAACCTCTTTTATATATATCAATGCATGCTTATCATTTTAGATTTTTTGGGGGGAAAAAGGCAATGAAAGTGCCTATAAAAGTTTATTAGAATGAGAAAAAGTAAAGGCATCATTTCAAATTTCCAACATTTTTCAAGCAGAACAGGAAAAAAAAAAAAAAAAAAAAAAAGAGAAAAAAAAATGAAAAAAAAGGGGATTTAAGAATTTTCTTAATAAATATACTATGCCTCCTTCCACAACTATATATTTGGTTTTCTCCCTCCAAAATATAAAAGGTGAAATCAAGTTATTGTTTGAATCTCATACACACTGTGCCTACAAGAAACCCAAAAAGTCTGACACCTCCATTTTTCTTTGCACTCATTTTAGTGGTACCCTTTTTACCTATCCTCTTCCTTTTTCAGGGTATATCAACATTTTATTAAGGTCTTTTGCTTTTCCTCTGGGTGTTCCTTTTTGTTCTCTTGTCTATTTATTTTATCATATGGAATCAATCTCGTTTTGCTGATGCTTAGGCTTTTGGGGATTCTGCAGATATTCCTTTTTTGCTCTTGTCTATTTATTTTATCATATCGAATTGGGTGTTGCATTTTTCATTTTTTTTTTCTGAGTTATTATTTTTTCTTATCTCTAACATGAATTGCCATGATAGGTCGTTTGTTGGAGAGTATTTGGACTACATTGGTTGCTTTGTTGATTTGATCGAGTAATAATGTTAGGTTTTGGCCCTTGAGTTTCTTTATTGTTATTTTGTTATGATAATTTTTGCCTTGTTCCTTAAATTCTGATTTAGTTGTTCTTTTATTCTTTTTTGTTGCTCAAAATTACTCTCTTTGTTTGCATTTTTAATGAACTTCTGCCTCTAATATAATGAGCTTTATGTAATTCTTTCTTGGTCTGAATGCTCGAGGATGGAAAAAAAAGAATTTAGCTGCTACCTCTTTTTTTTTTCCTTCTCAAAAATGATTTTCTCTATAATGACTAAAGAATATGTTACACAAACTATAAGAGTAGGATTTTATAAAAGGGAGTAGAGTGGATTATTAACATTGAGCTTTGTAGTTTGTTCAGCTGAAGAGTAGCTCACCCAGTAGTCTTATATTTCTATGCATTTATAGGAGATGATAATTTTATTAGGAGAGTTGTCTACTAGGGAATACAACAAACTCCATGTAGATTGCTTTAATTTGGATTTTGAACGTAAACTTATTGATTCTCCAACTGCAAATCCCTTCTAGTGAATTGAATATCGTAAAATTCTATTTTACTATTGCAATGCTCTTCATGCAGTTGAATACCCTTGCTCCAACGTTTCTTTTAATAGAGAATTGTGAGTTTACTAAGGAATCATGCAATGTTTGCTATGTTCATCTTTATGCATTTCCAATTTCCATCATTATTCTTCTCACCTTGCCTCTACGCTTGTTGGTCGGTTAAAATTTCTGTTTCTGTCAGTACATTGGTTGTTTTTCTCATGCGAGTGCTTTGTTTGGGGAGGGATGTACTAGGGTTAGACAATTATCCTGTGAGAATAGTCCAGGTATGTGCAAGTTGGCCTAGACACTCATAAATATAAAAAAATTGTTAGAATTACATGTTTACCTAGTTTTTTTTATGGTGCTGTTAGTCCAATGAGAAAACGGACCCTTTCTCCCTGTTCATTTCCCTTCCCAAATTCTGGCATTTGAAGCAAATGATATTTGATTCTACTTTAGTGCTGACTTAATAACTGCATAAAATTATTTTGAGATAGTAACTAGGTTTATGAATTTTGATCAACAAACAATATGCGCTGCAAATTACATTGGTCAATGGTTGTTAAAATCAAGTACATTTCACGATTACGGTATCCCATGTATATAGTTTGCATTAGTTTCTGTGCAACTAACCAATATCGTTATGAAAACTTAATTGCATAAGAGTGTTTCTACTGTTGGATCCTTTCAAATGCATTGCTTGTGAAGGATATATTTGTATCTTTCCTATAGATCTCCCCGTCTTTTTTATTTGAAATCAGAAATGGATAACTTATTTGCATGATCTGAAGCACCAAGTTCCTTTCGAACTGCCTTCTGCCTAATGAAGTTCTTTGGCATGTTGAATTGATTTTGAAAGTATGATTTTCAGTGACTTTATGTTTTTGTAGTTCAAATTTCCTGACTGATTGTTCTGAATGCGTTTGATTTGTATCACGTTTCTCACCTTTTTTTCCCCCCTCAAATCTTTACCTGTGTTTTTACACTTGAAATCCCTTTGCAATGATTTGTGGGTGAATTTATTTGATTTTATTTTATTTTAAAATTACTAAGGAATTGTTTTAAGTTACTTTGGATTGATGGGCTAAGAGATGGAATGTTAGGTTTATATATGTGATGGAATTGATCATCCTTTCAGCTGCCTTAAAAAGTTGAGAAGACATATGAGTCTTATCATGAGCTAAATGAATCATGATGCATTGTTAAGTTATACATGTAGTGGGCATCGTTCTCATCTTAAATTCTTGTAGGATTAAGAATACTACTCAGAACCGAGATTTTATGCCCTTGCCTATGAGCCTATCCATGTAAATATGATTGTTTTAGCTTGTTAGTTTGTGTTTCATATTTTTATTTCGATATCTTTGAGTTCTCCTTTTAACATTTTTTCTTATTGAATCTCAGATGGAAGTGCAAGATCATGGTCACATAATTGAAGTATGTGGGGATGTGCAAGCTGTAGGGCCTAGCATCGTGGGAAGTAAAATTTGTGGGGATGCACCCTCTTGTGGATTTTCTGATGCAAAAAATAGTTCAAATGATGCAAAGGAGCGAGCTGCATCCATGCGGAAGCTTTTCATAGCAGTTGTTCTCTGCATTGTTTTTATGAGTGTAGAAGTAGTGGGAGGTATTAAAGCAAACAGTCTTGCAATATTGACTGATGCTGCTCATTTGTTGTCAGATGTTGCTGCTTTTGCCATTTCTTTGTTCTCACTCTGGGCCTCTGGTTGGGAGGCAACTCCGCGTCAGTCATATGGCTTCTTCCGCATCGAAATTCTTGGTGCTCTCGTTTCCATTCAAATGATCTGGCTTCTTGCTGGAATCCTTGTTTACGAAGCTATTGTTCGACTTATCAATGGTCCGGGTGAAGTCAAGGGGTTGCTCATGTTCGCTGTGTCTGCATTCGGGTTAGTTGTTAACATAGGTATGGCTCTGCTGCTAGGTCACGAACATGGTCATGCCCATTCTCATGGTCACAGTCATGGACATGGCGAGCATGACCATGGTCATGGCAAACATGAACATGGCGGTGAAGGTCATGGGCATCATCATGGGATAAGTATTACTACGCACCACCACGACCACCAAGAAGGAAAGGGAGCTGCCAGCGATCATCATGCTCCCACGGAACCAGTAACGACACCCTTGCTTGAGGGTGGCTGTGAAGATGGAAGAAGTCATTCACCAAAGGTTATCAAGATGCAAAAGAAGCAACGAAATATAAATGTACAAGGGGCTTATCTTCATGTACTTGGAGATTCGATCCAAAGCATTGGGGTGATGATCGGCGGGGCAATCATATGGTATAAACCCGAATACAAGATTCTTGATCTGATATGCACCCTGATTTTCTCTGCAATTGTTCTGTGCACAACAATTCAAATGCTTCGAAATATCCTCGAGGTATTAATGGAGAGCACACCGCGAGAGATCGACGCAACAAAGCTCGAAAAGGGTTTGTGCGAGATGGATGAGGTAGTTGCAATACATGAACTGCACATCTGGGCCATAACTGTTGGGAAGATTCTACTGGCATGCCATGTTATAATAAAGCCGGAGGCTAATGCAGACATGGTATTGGATAAGGTTATTGATTATATTAGAAGAGAGTACAACATAAGCCATGTCACCATTCAGATAGAGCGTCAGTAGATAAATGGTAGTAGGGATCTCTTTTGGATTCTCAAGTATTAAATGTGTTCATCTTGGCTTCTTTTTCATCCTCCATCTCATAAGAAGGAAAATGAGTTGCTATTGAATGAAAGTTTATTATGATCGTTTAGATGTGCTTGTACAACTTGTTTAACGATTCGCTTTCGAGTCTCTGAATCACGGGTATTCAAATTTGTAAAACAGGGGAGGGAAGGAATTTAAAATTGGAACACAATAGTAAAATTTGACATAAAAGCATCACATCAAAAATAACAAAAAACAATATATGTTTAAAGAAGTGGTAGATATTAGAACAGTATTAAAATAGCAAAGGAGGAAGACGACTTAGGCACTTGTATAGTTGTACGTGTCTTCGATATTGATACTGGTTCTCTCCGTTTGAAAAACAAAGTAGTGGTTCCTACAAATACAAATGGTTCTCAATTTGATAAATGGAAGATAATTCTAGGGTAGGGCAGGCTCTCCAAATTTAGAGTAGGCCACAAATCAATTCTAGGTACTCAGGATATGATACCAAATTGATAAGGTAACCATAATCATAATCATCAGCCCAATGATGGTCTGATACCAAATTGATAAGGTAACCATAATCGTCAGCCCAATGATGATCTGATACCAAATTGATAAGGTTACCATAATCGTCAGCCCAATGATGGTCTGATACCAAATTGATAAGGTAACTATAATTCGTCAGCCCAACGATCCAAGCTTTTGTTGAAGCAAGAAGCCTCGAATCAAAGAAATTAACACCTCCGGATACAAAATTTGGATTAACCAAGAGATAACGGTAGAATTATATTACCTTTAAGATCAAAGATGTAAAAGTAAGATTTAGAATCCTGTTCTAAATTGAGTCATCCTACCATCGAACTCGATAAAGGCTTATTGAATGACTCACATGCAATCTAACTAAGATCTCAATTTCATTCATCCAAAATCTGTCTTTTACATAATAGTTTGTGGGTATTTATAATCTTCCCGCTAAGGAAACTTTCAATTCTTCCCATGCCCATAATTTAATCCTCATCCCCTACATCTACGCAAAAGAAAAGTCAATTTGACCAGTAACTTCCCCCTTTGCCCATTACAAGAATTATGAAATTTAAAATAAAGTTTTTTAACAACTTATTAATCAAGTACAATTTATAGCAACTTCATTCGCTAATTCAACCGCACAAATATTCACTTTTGAAGTTTAAAATGGTTATTCCTCAATCAAATCAGCGTGTAACACATGAAATAATGGTTGAACCGAGCCTATTTAACTTTGTATATGAAGAACGTATGCTTGTTGAATTTTTTTGGTCTTGGATCGTGTAATTGGTCAAGTTGGAAGATTTAGAACACCGTGATCCTTATCATTTTCCCCCTCTCTAAAAGAATTCGTCCTTGAATTAAAAAAACCATCATGTACATCAAAAGGACTCAAGTCAGCAACATTGAAAATAGAATGTACTGAAAGTTCTCCCAGAAGATCAATTTTATAAGCATCGTTATTAATTCTTTCAAGAACTTGATAAGGGTCATCCCATCTTGGATGGAACTTTGTTTTTCTTTGAGATGGGAATCGCTCCTTGCGAAAATGTATACAAACTGAGTTCCCGGGTTGAAAAATGACTTCCTTCCATCCTTTGTTAATTCTCGAAGCAACTTTGAAATTTTGTTTCTCAATTCTCTCTTTCACCTCTTGGTGTAATGTGAGGTGAAATGTTTTTATCAAATCAACCTTACTTGTGACTGCTTCACTCACAAAAATATTAGAAGGAATAAGAAGCAAATCAAGAGGTCTGAGTGGATTAAACTCATAAACAACTCCAAAAAGAGAACAATGAGTGGTACTATGAATTGCTCTATTGTATACAAACTCTGTAAATGACAAACATTCGTTCTCAGACTTAATATTCTTAGAAATAATAGCTCTAAGCAAGACTCCTAATGTTCTATTAATCACCTCAGTTTGTCCACGAGTTTGAGGATGTCATATAGTTGAAAACAACAATTTGGTACCTAATTTACCCCCACAATACTTTCCGGAAGTGACTTAAAAATTTAACATTTCTATCCTTAATAATTATTCTAGAGACTCCATCCTTAACAATTATTCTAGAGATTCCATGTAATCTTACTACTCTCCTCAAGAATAAGTCAGCAACATGTTTTTGCATTATGCAATAAAATAAGTCATTTTAGTAAATCTGTCTGCCACAATAAAAATACTATCTTTACTTTATTTAGTGTTGCAAACCAAGTACAAAATCCAAAGATATATTAGTCCAAGGTTCGTCAGGTACATTCAAAGGAGTATACAATTCGTTTAGTTGTGATCTAGATTTAGTTTCTTTGGCTTTAAAACATTGACTATAAACTTATGAACATCTTGCTTCATCTTCAGCCAAAAGAAGTGTTCATGCAACATATTATAAGTTTTATAAATCCCAAAATGTCCGCTACCATCCTATGTTTCTCTTAAAAACAATCTCTTATAAAACATTCAAGAACACAAAACTTACTTTTCTGAAATAAAAATTCATGAAAATACATAATAATAATCATCCATAGCTTTTTTTTTTCCAAGACAAGATGCTAAATAGTTCCAAAATTTTGGTCATCTCTATATAATTCTTTAATATGTTTAAGTTCAAGAATTTTTGTACTAACACAACTAAAAAGATTTACCTTCTACATAATGCACCAGCTACCATATTATCTATACCTTGCTTATATTTGATGACATACGGAAATATTTCAATAAACTCTACCCACTTAGCATGCCTACGATTTAGTTTGCTTTTACCTTTAAGATACGTAAAGCTTTCATGATCAGAATGGATCACAAATTCTCTAGGCCATAAGTACGGTTGCCACACCTGTAATGTACAAACTAAAACAAACAATTCTTTATCATAGGTAGGATAATTCAATGCTGTTTCATTTAGTTTTTTCACTAAAATACATGGAGGGTTTTCTATCCTGCATCAAAACAACACTTATGTTTAAACCATTTGCATCACACTCAATTTCAAAAGTTTTATCAGAGTCAGGCAAGCAAGACAAGTAATGGTATATTGGTTAATTTCTTCTTAAACTTATTGAATGCATTCTCTTGCATTTCCCCCATTTAAAAACAACTTTCGTTTTCATTAAGTCATTCAATGGTTAGCTATGGTGCTAAAATCTTTTTGAGTCACTCGTAGAAAGCTAGCTAATCCATGAAAATTCGGAGTATTTTTTGGGGTTGGAAAATTAATTAGGACTTTTAACTCTCTTTATATATTTCACTCCATTCTTTACTAATATTCTTTACTAATATGGAGTCAACAAAGTTAACTTTGTTGTAAAAACTACCCTTACTAAAATACTAAAATTAGCATAAAATTTCTCTCTAGGAATATTATTAGCACATAAATGTAATAGTAGCATTAGTGATTGCAAAAGTCACCATTCATACAATCCGCACTTAATTTTGAAATTGTTTTCTATTCATTTCTTCTCACCCTTCATACCATCCGCACTTAATTTTGAAAGTTGTTTTTCATTCCTTTAAACTCTTCATTCTAATTTGATAGATCCCAAAAGTTAACTTTATTTTAATGCAAAAACTACCCTTACTAAAATTATTTGAAAGTTGTTTTCCATTCATTTACTTCCTACCCAAACTACACTTACTAAAATTAGCATAAAATTTCTCTTTTCTAAATATAATCAAAACGGTCCTGCTCCACAATGTCAGGTAAAGTCTTTAAATAAATTAAAATATCATCAAAATAAACTGCTTTCCAATATATTCTCTCGAAATATTATTCGCACATAGATGTACTAGTAGTAGCTTTAGTTAACCCAAAAGGCCACCCTTCATTTTGAGAGTTGTTTTCCATTCCTTTCCTCCCAGTATTCTAATTTTTGATAGATCTCAAAAGTTAACTCTTCTTATGATGAAAAACTACCCTTACTCAAATTAGCATAAAATTTCTCTATTGTCATGCTCCACATTGTCCTATAAAATCTTCAAATAAATAAAAATATCATCAAAATAAACTGCTTTACTAGATATTCTCTCAAACTACACTTACTAAAATTAAGTCTTAAAATAAATTAAAATATCATCATGTAAATGTACTTTAGTAATTCATACAATCTACACTTAATTTTGAGAGTTGTTTTCCTTCGTTTCCTCCCTCCATTCTAATTTGATGATATTCAGATCTCAAAAAAAAAAAAAAAAAAAAAAAAAATCTTTATAAATAGACATTAACCATGCAATTAATCAAGCATATCGTCTAGCCTAGGAATAGGATGTTGATACTTTACCGTGATTTTGTTGATGGCTCTGTTGTCCAAGCACATGCGCCAAGTTTCATCTTTTTTTTTCTCTTTTTTTTTGCTCTAATAAGATTGATACAGTACATGACTTTCTCGTAAATACCACTTATCCATGAGCTTTTCCACTTCTCTTCTACTTGTCTCTAAATTTCTTTAGTCTCAGTAGGATTGACCCGATAAGCTGACTTATTAATAATGACAGCTCCAAAATGAAGTCTATGTTAGGATCGATATCAGTCGTTAGCTTTGATACCAGTTGTTAGGATCGATATCAGTCGTTAGCTCTGATACCAGTTGTTAGGATCGCACAACAACGCACACACTTGATCAAGATGAACACAAAGAAAAGGATAGAGAAAATTGCAAGGAGAACTCTGGCTAAAAGAATTTTTTATTTGATGATTTCAGGTATGTACAACAAGAGAGTATAGAGAATAGAAAGTACATCTTCAAAGCTCTACCGGATCAGATATATATATGGTATAGTTTACTATATATAGCTTTATCAGATTTAGCCATCTACTATATATAGCTATTTACCATATATAGCTTTACCGGATATAGCTTTACCATATATAGCTTTACTATATATAGCTTTACCGGATATAACCGTTGACCAAGCTATAAATAAGTATCAGGCTTCATAACCTAACAATTCTCCCACTTGGAGACTAATCTAGTCAACCAAGAATTTCACTCTCAAACGACCATGAGCATCCACTGCACCATACCAATTGAGGTTTTGCACAACCTCAACATTCCAACATCAACACATTTTGTCAACATGTT